GTTAAGCATGGACTCCAGTGTCTTCACCCAGTAATACTCCAAGTAATGTGAAGACAGACCCCCAAATAGATTTGCAGACTGATTTTGTATTTAATCTGTACTTTAAATCCCTTAACACAGAATGACTTCTCATGTTGTATTCCTTGTGCAAGACAGCCAGCCACCAACCAAGTTCTTGGACAGACCGACTCTTCAAAGACTTAAAATCTAAGCACATCCTCATTGACACTAAGCCGCCGCGGTCCCTCAGCACAGGCGATGGTTCTGTGGTGTGCACGGGGCAGGTAAGCGGTAACGTGCCCTCCAGAGCTCGCCTGCCGTGCAAGGTTAGCACTGTATTTATAGTCACGAGTCAGCTGCCAGCCAGAGACCGTTTCAAACAGCCTTTAAACTCATCATCTGTGGCTGGGCTGGGTGAATCCACCCCGAGGGCAGGCATTCTCTTGGAAGTAGGGAAAGTGATGACACGTTGCTCCTTGGGGACCCATCTGGCTGGCCAGCCTGGCCCGGGGGAGGTGGCGGGGGGAAGGGTGAGGGCCACTCTGGGGGGTTCGCTCACCATATTCACAGCCATTAGAGCCATCAAAGGGGGCGCCAAGGACATGCAGGGGGCACAGAGGTGGATTTTTTCTTGGTTCCCTGCAGTGAATGCCTTGGCCTGGGCCGACCCAGGCCTCTGGGACCAATATTGCAACACAGTGCTGCTCGCTCACACACAAACTGTCTTTCAGACAAACCACGACACACACGTGCGTCCCTGAAGTTCCTGGGCAGGCCTTTGGCCACAGCGGCAGGCCTGGGGTACTCACAGTCTCGGCGTCCACGAAAAGCGTGGGGCACTCGGAGCAGGAGGTGAGCATCTGGGAAGAGCTGACAAACTTGGATCCGATGCCCCGGAGGTTGTCTCCCAGGTAACTGGCTGCGTCACAGGTTAGGAAGCAGAACCTTTTCTGAATATTCTGAAAGGCAAAACGATCATTATTTGTAAAGGCCACATTTTAACTCACGTACTAGAAAAAGCTATTTTTTAATCTTTGTAAGAATAACAAATGAGCACAGGTTCTCTGTGTAGCGAGGGAGGTGACAGAGGCAGAGTGAATGTTGGTCTTATGTAGATAATCACCCGGTGAGGACAAAATTTCTGCCTAAAATGCCATTTCTCAGTTGTGGACGTTCGTATAATCTTTTACATAAATGCTGCTTTGCTTTCTGTGGATGGTCGGTGCTGGTCAGCAGCGTGAGTCCTAGTGTGAGGATTCCTGAGATGACGTCAATGTGGATGAGAGGAAACAGGGCACGGGATAAATGTTTTCTGTTTCCGTGAGACAGAGCACTAACATGGGGCCTTCTGAAGAATTACAGGGTAAATTCTAGATGGGACCCCTCTCCCTGGGACAGCATGTGTGATTGGGGTCTCTGTCTTACAGCTTCGAGTCCGTCAACCCACTGAGCCTCCCAGCCAGGTGAAGACATTGAGGTTAAGTGCAATTAAAGGACTCACTCAAGGACACACAACTGGTAAGTGATGGGGGAAGGGGAGCCTGGTTCCAAGTTCATGTTCCTCCCCTCAACCCGTAATGCTCCCTGAGCAGTCCTACTCGTCCTCTACTATCTGGTGAAACACCACACTGAGGAAGAACCTGATTCACTGTGCCTGAGTCAGTGCCAAAATGAGAACACTTTTAGCTCCAGCTTCTAACACACAGTAACAAAAGGAAGAAAATAGTTAACCAAAAAATAATTCCAGTCCTGGGCACTGGCTTTCCCCAGAGAGATGTCATGCCTTCTGAACTGGAGAATCCAGTCCCTGAGAAATCCGTCCGGCCCTGCTCTGGGGAAGTTAGCAGGTCCCCCAAACAGCAGCAGGCTCTTGGTTCCTTATTAGAAAAATGCCAACCACGTGGCATATTATTTACTTTCTATTTGATATATCTGCAAATCTTGCTGGAGGGCATAACATTCATATGTCTTTATGGTGCTGTTAGTTTATGTGCAGTTAAAAAAAAAAACACAACAGAACGTTGCAGCCAAAAGACACAGGAAATGCCATGTGATCCAGGTCCTCCAAATAGCTTAGGGCTCCTTCCGTCTTATCCAAGGAACCGGCGAGATTTGGGTTTATTTTGTATTGTACTGAGAAGCTAGATCTTTCAGGGAACTTCAGAGCCACATGTGACTTCCAGATAAAAATATCACAGTTTGGTGGCACTGTGTGTGACCAAATGACAATATTCTAATACAGGAGCAGTGGGAAGGAAACACAGTGAGACACTTGGAACGATGTCCATGCTGGACATTAGAAACCATTTCCTTGATTTTAAAACCAAGTTATTCTTGCAATTACCTCCTCTGCACTTTGTCCAGAATCCAACCAAACAGGGAAACATGGTGCAGACTCACAAGGAAAGGTTGAAAAACAGTAAACAGACATGGTGAGGATGTAATGAGAGGTTAATAGACTGCACATCTGAAGTGTGTTTCATTCCCAGCATATTTGATTAATACCGATTTTGCTACCAGTATTGCTCTCAATCACAGAGCACTTGATGGTAGCTGAGAAAATTCTTAAAAACTGAACTAGGAGGTACACATCTGTATTATTACTGCAGTTAAGCTCCTTAGGAACTGATCCAATACACTGATGAGAAAATAAGCCAAACCCCACTGTCTGTGTCTGCCCGCCCCTGCCACGGTCCAGCCCCACGTCCCTGCTCATATGACAACCTGTTGCTATCCTGGCATTAAGTCAGAAGGTGTACATTTAAGGTTTATATTAAAAACATCCCCATTTTACTGCATTTACTGAGCAGAGCAACTGTCCCAACAGCTGGGGAATCAAAGCATGATCCCATAACCTGCCTTCTCTGGGGGAGACAGACACCTAACAGGTGATCCCAGTGCAGTGTGACGAGGGAACAGATGCAGCCACCATGTGCTCGGGTCCCAAGTGACAGGGGGGAGAAAGCAGGAAGGGAAGTCTTCACTGACTGAAGTGACATCCAGTCAGGGATCTGGGAGTGTCCCTGGGAGTACAGCTGAGGGACAAGGAGAGAGGACAGCTCTTGGCAGAGGGAAGAGGGCTGCTCAGGACGGTAACACTGAGCATGGAGAGTCATGACTATAACACAAAAATTACCACAATTACTGAAATATACATTATTAACCATTATTTAAAAATAGACTTTAGAACAATGTAAATACAATAAATTACTCTGCTCCTGAATCCTTAACAATTACATTTACCTCAAGTGATAGCTTTCTGGTAGTCTATTTTTAAATTTCACTCTGGCTTTGTGTTGGGGTGCTTCTGGAATTCTTACTTCTCAGCAGCCCATTATTTTCTGTCTCAAGCCTAACAGTCCCTCCAGCCCCCAGTTCAATCTCCTGTAACCTCATCTTCATGGCTGAGTAGTATTTCCAGCACTGCCCTTTTCCCCTAGTCCATATCAGCCTCAGACAGGGCACACAGGGCTAGTTATAACAAGGCATGTTATAAACTTTCAACCACCAATCAGAAGTCAAGCTCCCGCCACATCTACTTCAGTAGTCGTTGTAAGTGTATTATGGGGGAGCAAGTGAAATCTGAAGGTGTCCACGCGCGAGGCTGCTACACAGAACTTCTTGTGGTTGACACCCAGCCTGCCCTCTGCTGGCCACGTATGGTACTGCAACCCTTCCAGGGAGGGACATTTGTTTCCAATTTGCACAAAGACCCTATAGAGACTAGCTGGGCTGTGGGTCACATAGGAGCAAAGAATGACCTTTCATCTGTTTAGTAGCAGCTAAGGAAAGTAAGCAAGTGTTCACAACTACAGCTGGCATGCTTAAGGAATTCATGGGGAGCGGGAGATAGAAGACAAGGAAAGGAAGAACACAAATGATAGAGAAAAAAGAGCTACAGGAGAGGACGCGGCACAAAGAGGAGGAGGACGGGCCTGGCAGGAGATACCACTCAGTGGTCCCGAAGTCACGGCTGCCTGCCTGGGACAGATGACGTGAATAAAAGGCAGGATGGCGGCCCAGACCACTGATGGCAGCGTCCTCACAAGGCCAGTCTGGGGAGGCTGAGTGGAGGAAGGTTGAACAGAAGGAATTATAAATCCAGGTGACCGGAGGAGAGTCGGGTAAACCAGCACTAGCCGACAGCCAGCTGGCTCCCTGAGAGCCCTCCGACCCGGGCGAGCGCGTACCTTGAACAAGGAGGAGAACACGTGGAACGTGTACACAGCACACGAGCCGTCCGAGTCGCACATGAGCTGGTTGATGTGGCTGCGCCAGGCCTCCTCTGCGTCGTCACAGGCCGTGGGCTGAAACGCAGCGAGGATGGCTGAGAAGAAGGGCGACGGGGGCGGAGAGACTCCCCTCTCAACTTCCCCAAAGCTGGAAGAAAAGGGAACGACTGTCAGAAAGTGACGTCCTTCCCCCTGCTGGCTGGCTTGAGTTGAGTTCTCACCCGAGGCTGCCCCTTCTGCCCGCTCCTCCCGCCGAGGTTGCTCTGGGAACCTGGCCTTCATTCGGAGGCTCCAGGATTCTTTTTTGACTCTAGGAAACAGAATTTTCCCCTCTGTAATCTCTGGATTCCTCCAATTCTGATTTCCTTTCTACAGATGTGGTACCTTGTTTAGCCTTCAGCAACTGCCCCTCACTTTCCTGCCGGCCTCTCCCTGCACAGCAAACATTCGTTTGGCCATTTCAGTCCTTCCCATTTTTCTTTTTTTTTAATTTAATTTTTTTAATTGAAGTATAGTTAATTTACAGTGTTAATTTCAGCTGTACAGCCAAGTGATTCAGGTATACATATACATATATATATTTCAGATTCTTTTCCATTATAGCTTATAAGATACTGAATATACACTTCCCTGTGCTATACAGTAGGGCCTTGTTATTTTATATATAGTAATGTGTATCTGTTAATCCCAAACCCCTAATTTATCTCTTTCCTCTTTTCACTTTTCTATACAAAAAAAGGATGAGAAAAATTTTGAATCTTTTTACTTCTCTTTTGTGGAGGAAAAGTATTAATGAGTGCATATGCATAAATGTCTGAAGAAAGGAGACGAGGGAGGGAAGGAAATGAAAGAAGAGAGATGCAGGATGAGACAGAGAGGGACAAAGAAAGGAGAAAAAAGAACAAAGTGTGCAAAGCCATGTCCTCCAGGCTTCACCTAGACGGACAGACAGGGGTCACCGTAGCAGAAGGCCTCTGTCCAGCCAGAAGCTCTCACTTAGTTCTTACTTTTAACGTTCAGAGGAGTGGTTTTAGAATTCTGGCTTTCTTCTCTGATGCTACAGTACATCTGCAGCGTTATCCTTTGTGATTTATTCTAGATGCTGCATTAGTGGTTTTTAAAAAATTGATTCCTCTTTATATTTTTTCCTATTCATATTCTCTGACTAGATCTTACTAGTCTCAGAAATGTCAGCCACGAGGCTGAAAGCCACCCCCTTAAACAAAGAGTCGGTATTTAGCTTATAAAGGGCCTCTTGTTCTGGACTCTCAACGCGAAAGTGGAAAGAACTCCCTGCTCCCAAGCCCTGCCAAGCTTGCTTGTTTTCCGAGCTGACAGGGCCTGGACCCCGTCCCCAGGCCCTTCGTTGGCTTTGCGCGTTACTCTAGGGCTTCATGAGTTCCTGCCTGCCCAGCCCTTTCAGCTCCACATGAGGCCCCCACTGGGGTCAGATGATTCCATCCCGTCGAGGGCCCTCCAAGTTAGATGTCAACTTGGACTCCATTAGGAAGTCCCAGCAGTGCAAGCCTGACATTTAGCTGGAGTTAGAGCGAACCCAGTAAGACGTGACAGGTGCAGGCACCCAGGGCTGCCTTACCTTGCGAGAGTAAACTGGTCCAGTGCCCGACTGCCTTTTTCTTCTGCCTCGGTCATGTCCAGGCTGAAGCTGTCGCTGCACTCGAAAGTGCCTGGGAGCTCGTTGATGGAGCCGGACAGATCATCCTCATGCACAGTGGCGTCCTCCTCCTCCGGGACAGCATCAGCCTGGAAGCGCAGAAAGAGAAAAGAACCCCCGCCGTGTGTAAGAATATCTACAGGAGGATCTGCAATCCTGAGCGTAACGGGAACGGGGGGCCCGTGTCTTCTAGCTATGGTGTAGCCAGTGTGTCTTGTCAGTCTCTTCCAGTGAGCGTTCCCAAGGAGACTCTCAGTAGATTACCATTTTTGACCCACGTTTATGGAGTATAGATGCTAAACTTAGGAAGGACCCTAGAGGCCCCCCTGGTTCAGCCACCACATTTCATAGACAAGACGTGGATGTTTGTCGTGGGGAAGGGCCATGTCTGATACCAGGGAGACTGGCAGGGCCAGAGCGGGGATGAGAACCGCCATCCCTGGATTTGGAACTCTTCCCATTGTACAACCCCAGCCTGCCAAAGCCGGCCGTCCAATAGAGGGTCTCTTACCCGTGGAAATGATGGGATGGTCACGGCTCCATACCTATCCGCAGTGCGCACGAGTGATCCGCAGTTACTCACTGAGCCCACCATGCTGAAAGGCCTTTCCATGGGGAAAACCTTCTGAGATCTACATACACACATGCTTTAACCTGCGGAACATCCCTCGACTCTAACAGATACCCAGCTCGCTATGACACGTGGGAAGAGCAGCGAGGAGAGGGCCCTAGGGCAGGCAGGGCTGGGATCAGTCGGGGGCAGGAAAGAGATGTGGCAAGTGGAATGGAAAAAGAGGCTGGGCTTGAACGCGGGCCAGGGGGAAACCCTCCGGAGAACTGATTGTTCTTTATGAGAGGAAGGAAGGCAACTGTGTCCCAGAGCAGAAGAGGAGAGGAAGAGATCACACATACAGGGTTCCGTGAGTCATTTTCTTACAACAAAAACAAAACCAAGGCAAAAGAGACATATCTATGAATAGGGCGTTATCATGGGCTGACATATGGCTACCAGCTTAGTATTTTGAGTATAGGATTAACAGGGAAATTAGGAATGTTTACAGATATGTTAAGGAAATAGGATATCTTATGTCTTTGAAGGAATTGCTTGTAAAGACTGTGTTTCAGAGGCTTATCCATATCTGCTGCTTCCTGCTTTAAAACTAGAGTGGTGCCAACAAGACGGGCCTCTGGTGATTGGGCTGGGTTATCAGTGTGTATAAACTTAATCTATTGGGGGTGGGCTGAGTTCTTTTAAAAATATCTTTTATCTTCTCTTTCAAACATCATAGGTACACCAAACACTACAGAAACCTAGCTCATGTTGAAAAACAGATAGCTTTTCAGAAATTAGACTCAACCTTTTCTTGATAGAATTCCTTGAGAAAATTAGATTTCTGTATGAGTTCATGAAAATATTACTACTTAGGAAAGGCTCTGTGTGAGAAATCTATACAACTTAGCATTCAAAATAGAAAAATTGAGAAAATGATTATTGCAAGACTGAGAAATGTCAAATGTTACACTTATTTTGTGATGTCCTTTCAATGAAATTTAATTTCTCAATCTTAAGATTCTGGCATTTTAATCTCAGACAAATTTCCTTTATATCCCCCCCCCTTTTTTTTGGCAAAAAAAGGACACTGCAAATTCTAAGAATCCTGGTTCTAGTCCTTTTGCAGTGAGGCAGTCTTAGAAATAATTCTTTCTTAAGCTTCAGTATTTTTAGGTGATTGCAATTTGGTTGGCTGCCCTAACCAAGGGCAGATTTTGCTAGATCTCTGGTATATTTTTAGTGCACTATAAAAGAATACAAATGGCCAGTATTAGATTTTTCCATTAGAAGGATCAGAAATAATATATTTTTATAAATTTTTTTCTTTTTTTTTTTCACTTTTAAATTTACACCACCGTAACCAAACTCAGGTTAAAGAAAACTTTATCCTAACAGCAATAGGTTATTTTGGTATTTCTAATATAAGGAAATAAAATTCTATACTAATGGGCATATATGTGGGCACATATGTAAAAACAGTGTGGGAGTTAATAGTTTTATAGACAGGAAATTTTATTGAAATTTTGATAAAATAAACTTTAAATGAAATACACATTGTTAGATTTTTTTTTTCTTTAAGCTGACCTTCTAAATAGGGAAACTGTGTCCGTAACTTACTTTTCTCCTCAGAGAGCCTGATTAGGACTGTTCTGTGTGAATCTCTTTTGTGTATAATACTGTGATACTGAAAATTCTGATAGTCTGCCAAACGGAATCAATGTACAGATTGTGTAATTGGTCCCTACGTAGGAAAAAATTTCCCCCAACACATGCATACACCCACACCTCACTTGGCATATTGCTTTATAAAAGTCAGGACAAAGCAAGGGTTTCTCAGTCTCCGCGATCTCAGACACAGACCAATTTGTTAATCAGCAGTGTTCACACTACGTGGAAAACACAAAAATGTTTCATTTTAAAAGGACCTCAAATCAAATCTCTTTCAACCCACAAGAAGGTGGCTGCTCAAGTCTGTGAGAGTAAAACAACTTCAAAACCTGGGCTTAGGTGCACAAACTCCATTATGCCAAAAAAAGAAAGAAAGGAAAAGACAAAGATGGTCCCTCCACTTGTTTAACCCGCTAGGAATGCTCAGAAAATTGGAAGTGCTTTTTCTTTAAGAAAATGACGGTCAACAATTGCCAAAATCTCCTCACCTTTGAACCCTCAGAGATCTGAAGGTTGTTCATATCAGGCAAAGCAGCACTGAAGCCAGTCATTCTGGAGTTAAAGGAGTGGGGGTCAGCGGGGGTCAGATCGCAGGCCGTCGTGAGCGATGCCATGGGGTTAGTCTCCTCAGAAGGGGAGAGGGTCATGATCTGAGGACAAAGCAAAGGGAAGAAAACAGAGTGATGTTCGAGTCGTTAGAGGCTCTACTTCAGTCTTCGCACGAGCTCACACAGGCTGGTTGGTGGCGGCTACGTACTGACGGTCCCACCTGCACACTTCACTGCTACGGAACGTAAGCGCGGCAGCCGGCGGTCTGGTGTGACGGTGCCGCTCTCCAAAACACAAATACCCTGACTTCCAGATCGCCCCATCAAAACGTCTGTCCTGCCATGTTTCCTCACACTTCAGATGTCTGAGGATTTTTTTTTTCCAAAAAGATTCCAGCATAATAGAAGTTACTGGGGGAAAATCTAGGCCTGAACAGACTTGATGGCGCTCAGAGCTCATCAAAAAGCCCAGCTTTTGTTTCCATTTGCAACCTAGGGAGAAAAGGCCAGTTAGACTCAGACACCACCGGACACTTCAGGTTTTGGTTTAGCCGCTGTGGGAAGTTTCTCGAGCTGCACCTGGAAACTGCAGCGCTGCCTGAACTACAGAAAGCAGTCTGGCATCTCCTGGGAAGAGCAGCTGGGTGGGCTCCCACTTACTAGGTCAGAGTGCTCCAGGATCTGGCTGGTCGTGAGGTCCTCCTCTTCGGAGGACTCGTCGGAATCCTCGTGGTTCATTTTATTGAGGCTGGGAGAGCTTCCCGAAAGCTGGCGCTCCTCCAGGAGCTGCATGTCACACTTGTCCAGGCTGTCCAGAGAGCGCCTGCGTACTCCCCAGTTGAAGTTGTCCATACTCTCGCCCTGAAATCACACCATCAGCTGCTGTGTTTAGGTCAGAAACCTCCCTGCACTCAGACCGTCACACCTTCAGCTAGCCACAGCTCAGAAAGAAGCACTCTCACAATCAGCCCTCCAGCCCTCCTGGCCCCGGGCACCAGACTTTTCGCTTCCAAGATGTGGAAAGCAGTAAAGAGCACACTGTTCCCACCTAAACGCATGTTAAGTCCTAGGCAGACGTGACTACACACTCTTCTTTGGCCTAGTGAGTCATATTTTGTTTTCTTACAAGGTGACCTGTGGGGATACGCTATGAAGAATCTGTGTCAACAACAACCTGTCAGAAAGAGACTGAACAGTAAAACAACGTCAAAGAGGTGGCTCCTGCCCCACATCCCGCCCCACTTTAGTCCCGATTTCAGAAAGAGAAGTGGGAGCTATGCTCGTGGCACATTCCACGCCCTTCGGGTATTACGTAGACGAGCATTAGGTCAACATTCCAGCCGTTTCTGCCGCAGCGGTTTTCACAGATCAAATGCAGAGTTAAAGAGTATGAGAGAGCAGCTGGGCGTGGCCTGACGCTCATGCACTACGCAGGGGCCGGGCAGCAAGGCTGAAGGTTTGCATGAGGCGCATCTTTAAATAAGTGTCCCAACATAGAAAATAATTCCCTCCTTGGGCCTGAATGAACTGCCTTGGTACCAAGGGTCACTGCTAAACTGTACATTTGGATTCACTGAGAACGAGGCTAAGTGGCAATGTGTTTTTTTTTTTTTTAACTTGAAAAAAATCTTATTTTTTTATTTCATTTTTTTAAAAAAAATGGGGGTACTGGGGATTGAACCCAGGACCTCATGCATGCTAAGCATGCACTCTACCACTGGGCTATTTCCCTCCCTGGCAATGTAAGTGTTAAAGATTTCAGGCATATTTCTCTACAACCATCAGATGTTAAGTTTACTTGACGAACATAAAATTTTTTTTCTAAAAACTAAACTGGGTTTTATTTTTCTCTCTGTTAAGCTATTCTCTATAGGAATAAAACATGCGAAATACTACCAGCCCACTGGTAAGCAAATTTTAACCTATTAACAAATAGGTAATCTGAATAAAATCTAGCACAGAATCCTGTCATTTATTAGTCATTTGAAATAGTGACAGTTCACTGAAATAAATAAAATAACTTTATGGTGAGAGCTCAGTAAGTAGCATCATAATATAATTTCAGTGAGAGATGTAAATTACTATTAAAATTAATGAGCATTAATTGTATTAATTTTTCTCTTGTTTTAAGGATCTGTTTTTTCTGGTTCCCAATAAGACAAAGCTGGTCATTCTCACAGAGCTCTCTTATAAAAATGCTTAGCTTTTCCCAAGTCTGTTTTGGCTATTCACAGGGGAAGGCAGCAGATGAGAATCCTGTACACATTCTGGATATGGAAATTGCTATCTTTATCCACCCCCATTTCTGATGTTTATGATTGTTTTTAGGACTGTTTGATTATAAGAGGAAAACTGAGAATATGGTTTCCATATTTTGTAGCTGTATCTGTACCTTTTATGCTGTGATAAATTACCATCAGATAATTTTTTTTTCCTGGTAGAAAAGGCTTTGTTAAGCTGATATTTTAAAATAGCTATTTCAGTGAAAAAAAAAAAAGTGGAAGAGGCAAGAGTTCTGGGAAGGAAAAAAAAATGGAATGTGTGAAGAAATAAAGAAGTTAAAGAAAAGGGGAGTGTAATACAGAATAAAAAGAAGAATGTGAAAACTACTGGGAGAAATGGACAGACACACAACATAAATTCACACAGTTGACTCTCTGGCACCAAATCAATGGATGGGTTGGATGAACTATCTCAGGCAGCAGTTCTGGAAGTGTCCCAC